TGTCAGCCTGTGTAGATTTACTAATTGTATGTTAGTGTGTTTATCTCATTGTATGGGCTACCAAAAGAAATAGTTTCTTTTAACTTAGTTGATTTAATAACTACTGTATTACATCAGGATTAAGGCTACATCCACACTACTATGTGATCTCCGTCCAGACTAACACACCTGAAAACACATAAATACCTGACCAGTCACATGCACTGAGCATGTGCGGGCCGGTGTAAACAGGAAGCAGATTGTCTTCTCTGCAGATGATTAGTTGCACAAAATACTCAGAATGAGGAACAACAAAGACAGTCGTAGCGTTAAAATGCAGAATTTAACTGAGCAACAGCTGCTAGCAAAAACAATAAGGTCAGTAACGCGTGTAATCCATTTTTCATGTTGCTTTCACCACTGGTAATTGAGGCTTATAAGATCCAGTCAGGGAGCGTCTGCGGGTGTCTACTTCAACTTTTCCAAAGGTCTTCTGTTATGCCCGTCCAAACTACAACGCAAACCTGGTGTTTTCAAACTAAAACCAGGTCTGCAGAATTTTTGAAACTCTCTGTTTTTGGGACGGAGTGGTGTGGATGGGAGGAGAAAATGTAGGAAAACAAACGTGTTTTAAAACAAAAACTTAGTGGTATGGACGTGGCCTAAATCAGGAATGTTTTGCCTCAACCATCCAGGTCTGGGATCAGCAGATTGAAACCTTCATTTTTAGAAGAAATTAACAGAACATGATGTGAATACAATATGGATACAAATGTGGAAAGTGCATCATGAATTGTTTGTTACTACTGTTATTGTTATTACTTTGGCCTGACCACTGAGGTTTTTAGGGCTGGAACGGTCCCAAACTATTGCACAAAGTCAAAGTTTGATTGAAGTAAATAATGTTAGTCATCGATTCTGTATCCAACGATCATCCAAATTCAGAGCCGTGTCAGATGATGTGCACTAACAGCGTAGGTCCCACTCCCCTCCGCAGGCTCAAAGTGCAAGGGCCCATTCAAAGCTGCTCCTAGCAGCTTTAATTATTATCTATGAAAGAAATTTATGGTGCAGCATCCAGCAGGGGGAACTTTAGGAGAGACAAGACCCTACTCATAGTGTATACTGGCTTTAACACTTCACAGGACACAGTTCTCCAACCTATAGGCAGATCATCAAAGTAATTACATAGGTAGGTAATTACATATACCTGCAATGAAAGTAGACTAAAGAAAGTAACCGATGAAGTTTTTTTCCTTTTTTTTGTAATTTTTTTACATAATGCAAATTTTGTCAAATCTAAGTAAAAACCAGACGAACTGTTCACAACAGTTTGGAATAAACCAGGATCACTAGGTCAGTAGTACGAGCATCAACAGCCACCGTGACTGAATGTCAAAATGAAAGAGCAAGTTACAGAATCAGCAAAAGCATCAGCAACAGTGAGCACTTAAATCAGGAATAGAAACATCATGTAAATGAAAAATTATAGTCACAAATTTATTCTTTCACATCACTGCAAAAGTGCCTTGACAACTGTCATGCATATCATACCTATATGATTTATTTTGCCAGGTAAATTAATGCCTAAATATGATCATGGTCAATGCCACCATTTATTGCCTGTCCCTTTCCCCCCACCAGCCCTTCATCATAGAGCATATTCACATACTTAAATGTAGATTTATAACCTTGTATTTCACGACAACACGATATTCATATCAGTGTCTACACACAGTATTTGTCTTGAAGTGGGCAAAACGCCAGTTTCGTCATCTTTCATGACTAGCTTGTGAGCTCAAGTTGCATAGAAATTGTCTGTCTTTCCTCACCAGGTGGTGATGACTGCAAACTTAAAGGCTGGGATCTCAGGGTGGGTCCCTCCTGCCCCACTGTGACCAGTAAAAGGTGAGTACTGATTCCTTCACTTGGACTGTCCATTTAGGCAAAGTACGGTGACGATTTCTGGTCTGTTCTTTTGAAGGCACTCGATGGGTGTGTGCAGTATTCAGAGCAACCCACATCGGGAACACATCGTGGCTACAGGCAGGTAAATTTCCCAGTGAGCTATGTTTGGTAACTTGGCATTTTGTGATCGTGACTACTGTTTACCACTGCTGCTCCTTCATTCATGTGATTGTAAGTCTTGTGTTACTGGCTTCTCTTTCTGCAGCTATGATGAGCAGGTTTTGCTGTGGGATGGCAGGAACATGCGACAGCCTCTCAGTGAGAGTGCCATGGGTGGTGGAGTGTGGAGGCTGAAGTGGCATCCAACCCATCAGCACCTGCTGCTCGCAGCCTGCATGCACAATGACTTCCATATCCTTCACTGCCAGCAGGCCCTGGGTGAGTGTGATAGAGAAATGGACAAAGAAATACTTGCTCTTGATTCTTAACGTGAATTTTTTAAGTCATCATAGGGCCATTATTGGATATTGAGTGTAGATTGATGAGGGAAAATGAATTTAAATAATTTAAGCATTAAGCTGCAACATAACAAAATGTGAAAAACGTGATGTGGTCTGAAGACTTTCCAGATACAGTGTAACCATCAGATCAGACTCAGCATTGGCAGATACCCAGTACCAAAGAACTTTGACTGGGAACAGGGCCAGAAAAAGACTCAGGACATCCTCACCTAGAATCCTTGTTATCTGTTGCAAATGTTTACCAGTTGTGTTCAACCAAACAGATCTTTTTGTTGTTGTTGTTTTTTGTTGTTTTTTGTTTTTTTGCAAAAAGTTAAAAACAGGTCTGCTATTCACAAGAAAAAAATCTTCATAATATTTTGTAACATTTAAACTTCCCTTCTCTGGCAAATTCCTCAAACGTATCTTCCAACCTCTGGTGGGGATGAGTAGTAATAATAAAAGAATAGTCAATGACTCCAACACTTATAAAAAAAACTGTGAATTACACCTGAATCCTCAGAAGTGTGCAGTCAGAATATACAGTCCAATTTCTAAGTATTTGGATGGTTTTTGGTTTTCAGGCTCTGGGTCAGCACATTCAATTTGGAAATAAAATAATTGATACTAAGTCTCAGCTTTAATTGATTAAATTTGCTCTTTATGTTTTTTTTACATCAACATAAATATAATAAAATTAAAGCTGAGACTCGGCACTTCAACGTAGTATTCATTATTTTATTTCAAAATGAATGTGCTGGTGCAAAGAACCTGAAGAACAAAAAGAGAACTTGTGGTCTGGACTGTTCATTTCTGCCTAATCAGTTATTATTGCATTTCCCTGTAACCGTGTTGTCTTCCTGTCATTGTCCAGAGGGCAGCGGAGGAGCTTGTCCTGTTGTAGCTTCCTACATCCTCCACAACTCCCTCGCTTATGGAGCTGACTGGTCCCGGCTGTCCCTGGACCATCCAGCTCCCTGCTCCCCTCATGCTACAGAACCAAAGGAAAGCCTCACAGAGAGCAGAGGACACGTGAGGATTCAGTACGAATCTCCCACCGCCAGCTTTGACACTTCCCTGGAGGATGATGCTGGACAATACATCCCAGAAAGCATTGCAGCACCATCTACCACCCCTGCTGCAGGCCCTGCCCTCAACCCTGATCATGATGCCCCCTCATTGTCCTGTCTGCTCGCTAGCTGCTCGTTCTATGACCATATGCTCCATGTGTGGCGTTGGGACTGGACTCCAGGTGAGGCTCAACCAGAATCAGAGCAATGTTAACCAGGATGGAGCACTGGCTGAGACGACACTACAGCAACATCTTCTATCAAATTATAAATCAAACCAAAGTAAAGCAGAATATACAGCCCAGCAATGGTATGGGCCCCGTCACTTTGGAATTATCACAATTAACAAAACCCTATATTTTCATAATTACACTGATTTTTATAAACTTATATTTAAACATAAATTGTGTGTTGTCCTTATACTGTTTATCCTGTAGCTGCAAGATCAATACAACCATTCACCCTGTATCATAGCTTTTTTAAGCATTTTGTGATAATGGTAAATTGTTCAATAAAACACCTTGCTTCAAGACCAGCACCAAGTTGAACACAGGAATTGGGGACCCATGCATTATGTGTGAATGTTTGTAATAACTTTATTAAAGGAGCTATTTGTAAGTTTTGCTATTGCTGCGTACCTAGTGTTAGCATCAACAGCTCCTTACTTACCAGTCTTCCCAAGAGCTTCAGCGATCGTTGCATTTACAGTACAAGAGAGTAATAATATGTCCTCTGAGCAGCTACTTCTTCAGGTGAGACTGGAGACAGTGACTCGATGTCAGAAAGTCACATGACAGGCCGGCCAGGCCAGAGCTAGCTGGTTAGCATTCTAGCTTCAGTAGAAGAAAAGGCGTGATAGAAACAGGAGCAAAAACGAGTTAACATTGTCATTGCTTCCCACCTCTGGAGGAAGCTGTTAGTGAGTAAAGAAATGAAGTTTGATGCTTAATGCTAACATTAGCTATGTAGCAATCACAAAACGTACTTAAAGCTCCATTAAGCATCAAAGGGAAAGTCTCTTAATTTACAACTCTCTGATAGGCGCTTTGTGCTCCTGGATTTAGTTCAGTGTTTAGGACATATTGACAGGGTTTGTGCCTGATGACCTGGGTGAAGGCTGGTATTAGGGTTCCCTTGTAGAGTACCCAGTTTTGCTTTGAAGTATTATGTTTAGTCCTGCTGGAAATCTGAGGTGCTGATCTTCACCATATGATGATTTTGGAAATGTCATCACAGTACTATATGAAAATGTGTTGAGGCCACTTTTATTGCCGGTTATGTTCTTCTTTCCGACCAATAAAGTTACATTGACAACTTCTAGGCTCACTGTGCATATCTTAACTTGGAGACAGTTGAATATTCGTTTGAATTCGTCAATGTGTAATGAGCAAATTAAAACAATGAGTCTCAGTCATTGCAGTGTAATTTATTGTGAGGCCTCACAAACCCTTGGTTTATTAATAGTTTTGATGTGTAAATAATGATCAGCTCAAACTGTTTAACTGATGTTTACAATAATGAATGAATGAATGAACAATTCTGCCACATGGATCATGTCTCCTTTATTTGGTAACATAAAAGTCAACCGCTGGTAGGAAATTGATTTTCTAAACATAAAATACAGTCCCTTGTGTGATGAGTCTCCTGGAAGTTTCATGCCAGTTGGTCTGCAGGTGTTTAATCAGCAGTCTGTTTCTTTCCTAGTAAATAAATGACTCTGAGTGCATCTTTAACGCACATAGTTCTTGGGATACAGCTTGAAGAGCTTCCCCTCCTGTGTGGGCTCAAATCCGTATTTCTGCAGCTGCTCTTTGCTGAAAGTGCCATCTTCAAAGTCTTTCTTGATCTGCGGCGCCACCACTTCAGCAAACACACTTTGCGCTGTGAGTGGAGGTTCTGTTCCTCTGGGAGAGCGATACGAGACATACGGTTTGAGTTTGAATCCCTCCAAATGAGGCACCACAAACTCAGGAATCATGGCTCTTATGGATATGAACTTTCTGCTGGAGAGCCTCAGTCCGGTGGGCCTCGAGCCCCTGCCTTTATTATGAGTCCTAGATCCACGCTTGCTGGTGAACTCAGACATCCTGTCCGCTCCTCTTACCAGACCCCTCATTAGAGTGGATAACACACCCATGGTGCCGCTGTGTTTTGTCCTTCCAGAACAGAGAAAAACCTGCACAGAAAAGAAAAAAAAAACGACAGTTTTACACATGAGCTGGTTGAATTCTCTAAATGATAAAGAAAGGAGCTTAAATGATTTCTATCTTATCTCCTTTAGCATAGGAAACACTGGACCTTTCTTTTACGAGAGGAAAGGAGAAAATGCTATCTCACAATTCCTTGCCGCAGCAACATTTAAACTAAAGCAATGCACCATTGTAGTTTCACCTTGGCAGACCCACATAAATGTAGAAACAACAGCAGATCTATGTTTGCAACATGATCCAACACGGATGGAAATCCTTGTCTGATCAACTGACGCCCAAATCCATAAATATAGATCTCTTCTCTTTCAGATCTGTCCAGTTAGGAGTCTTCTTGAAGAACAAGCCTATTGAATTTATATTATATTTATTTTATATTTATACTATCATCATCATAACAAAACACTGTAGCTTAAGCTATACATACATGTTGTTTCACTAAATCCCCTTCCATTGTGGAATGCACAAAATTTTTTCTCTACATTACAATTGTATAGATATGTCAGAAGTGCCTATGCCAGGAAACCTTGTACTTATTTCTGAATATAATTCATTCTGATCCCTTGCTCAGTTCCTTATTTTTATTTAATTATTTCAATGGCTCAACCTTCTCTTCTTGTATATTTCTTTCATGTCATTTTATTTCAATATATCAATAGTGTTTGTTTTCTTTTTGAGGTTAAGAAAGGAGTATTTATCCTCCAAGTGTTATAAATAAAGTTAGTTTTAAAGAAGCTTAGTGTAAGTGCAGTCAGATTCCTCTCCCAAGTCCCCTTCACATCTTCACTTGACCTCATGACGTTTTCCATCAATGTCGAGGAAAAATGGTTAGAAAAGGAGATTATTTTGACTTTTCGACCGCAGCCATGTTTTTTAATCAAGACAGCAAGAATAACCGAATTTTTCGACAAGCACTTCAGCCTTAACTTAAGGCTTAACTAAAGGAGTCCAAGAAAGAAATCAACATCTTCAACTATATATTTTGACACGTTTACGTTAAGTGAATTAATGAAAATGACTTAAGGAAAGAAAAACCTGCGTAACGTTTCTAACGTAGATTAGAAAACAACTTGAAAGTGTTGTGATGCTAACGGTCATCTCATTTACTAGCTAGCTGATTTAAGAGTCGGTTAATGCAACATCGTCTGCTAGCAAGCTGATTATAGATTTACTCAATAATAATAGACAACGTTTAAATGTTCTCATTTTAAACTGCCCATACGTTTCTATATTGTTACAATTCAGCTCCTCTCACCTTGAACACACTGTCAGTCCAATGCAAGAAAATGTGTCCGACTATCCAATGAAGTGTTAAGCGATTGGCCGAGAAGCACCAATAACCACCAATCAAAATCCGAGATACTTGTGCTCGCCTGTCAATGATTGGCCGATAAGCTAAGTATGACAGCGATCACTAGAACAAGAAGAATTGCCCTTCAAAATAAATCGGTAAAAGAGCAGCATGTGCAAAGCAAAGATATTTCAAAGTTCTGTGTTGATGTTCAGTTTAACTAGTGAAGCGCTTCAAATGTAGCAGTTTAATTTCCTCCTACATCCTCTTTAAACACAGTCTATGTTGCATCACATCGGGGTCATCGTACATTTTCGCCGATAAGGGTTTTACTTTGAGGTATGACGGGACATTCAGATTGTTCTTACCGTGCAGTCTTTACACTATTATAAGGCACATATACACAAAAAAGGTACGTGGGAAACTGTTTGGTCGGTTTTAATCGAAAATGGTGTATTTGTTCGTATGTATTTGTTCCAGACTTGCAGACTTATTACGTTAGTTTTTCGCATGTAATGCATTGGATTGTCCTTTTGTTGTGTAGCGGATTGCAGCCACAGAGTCCGCGAACAGAGTCTGTGAGAGCAGCTCTAAGTGAAAATTATTGTTTACTGATTTTGACATTAAATTTAGGCTGTGTACGTACTTTAAGTGTTAAATATCAAACTATTGAAGAGTGAGTTATTTTTGCTTCTTCTGCACCGTACTACATTTAAATCATGTCAAAAAATAGTCCCACAATGCTCCTTGTTGCTCCTTCTTTTAAAAAATATCTGTCTGGCAGTTAGGTCAGGTCATTCTGCCACTTTTCAGAGTTGGCTTTAACTGTTTAGCTGTTTTGGAGCAGAGCTGTGTTGCAGTGCAGGAGGGAGTGTCGGGTTACAAACACTGAGCTTGTGACCTCTTTCTCTTGACTTGTGTATGTGGTCAAATCTTTTGCTCTGTGACCTGTTCGTCAGCTGAGCAGAAAGAGACAGCCAGGTTAAGAGTTCGAGTCACGAGATGTTATTGATATATGACCACATGAAGCTTAATCAAAAACACAGTACTAATTCATCAATGATCTCCTTAGGTTTTAAACACAAAATTGTCCCATATGAAATGTCACTATAATAATTTAAAAATAAGATTACTTTTTTATTTCTTGCAGGCATGCAGCTGGACAACGATGAAGAGGAGTGGTGCAGTATATACCCAGTATGTCCTTCCTCAACACCATTCATTGCACTTCATTGTCTGAAAATAAACTTCCACGTCCTTGTGCTCAGCAAGGCCTTCAGGAAGGGGAGCCTGGGGACAGTTGCAACACTTTTTACATTTCTCTTAGTTACTCAGAGGCTCCTTGTTCTAGACCAACCAAAATTTTCATATTACACATACATCAGTCTGCTAATCATCTATACCATTTAAAGATGATTACATATGAGATAGCAGTCACAATATTTATTTCATTTTTATTTAAGAAAAATAAAAATAAAATAAAAATAAAAATAAATTCTTTATTTAAGAATTCAGTTGTTGCAACTGACACAACACAGATCAGAGATGGTTTCAATATATTAAAAATACATTAAATTTGCGTGTTGTGTCAGTAAGCATAGTATTCTGAAAATATGGCAAATGGTATTATAGTGTTATTTATTTATTTATTTAACAATATTTATCAAAGAACAGTCATTTAGTTTTGTGTAGAACATAGTAACAACAATAGCAATAACAATTTATTTTATTGCTTATGATGAACAGAACAGGTAAATATATTTTAAGACCATGAGAGGAACTGAATAATTCACAAAATAACTTGTTTTTATTTTCTTATGTGGTAAAATGATCAATTATTGTTGCACCTGTTTTGCTATGGGACAAAATTAGCTGCATATTTTGTCTATTTTGAACAGAAAATGTTGAAACACACTGTTGTATGGTCTGTTGTGATTTGACTGGGGACAGTTACAATAGCTTGTTGTAAACGTCTTCACCCCGTCAGCCATGACAGAACATCATGTGCTAGACACACTGACTTCGACACATTCTAACTATGTCATTTAGAAGTCAAAAAAAAAAAATATTAAAACTCAGAAAGTTTTGATTCTTTTCATAAAAAGTGCAGGACAGTTTGACAAAAATACAGCTTATAAAAAAATGACTTTCAGATCTCCAAAACAAGTTGTGTCTTCCAGTGTCTTCTGTCTTCTGAGTGTCATCACTTTAGCATGTTTCTGATTGGAGGAATGACACTTGTTGCAACTGTCCCCAGTCTCCCTTACAAGTTCATGACAACACATCAGCTGTCCTGACTCTGACAACAAATATATATTTCTCAGTCAAATACATGACAAATGCACATGTTTCACATATCCTGTAAGGCTTGTTGTTTTTCACCAGATGATTAGGCCTTTATTGGGTAAAAAAAAATAATAGATAGCCTTCTTAAAATGCTAAAGAAACTGGAAACATTTGTCACCTTTTTGTGCTCTGATTGCTCTTATGTGAAAAACCCACAGGTGGTTTGTGCAGCAGGTTATTATGACCCATAGTTACGTTTTATTATTAGGCGACATCTAGTGGTCGTACTAATTATGACAGGATCAAAGGTGGATGGATGGGTCAACAAAACATAAGAATATGACACAGAAGATTGGTGTACGATTCCCATGTGAAACCAGTAGTTTACATTGTTTTCTATTATCCATGACCGTTGTTATTATAACCCTAACCCTAACTCTTACCCTTTGTTTTAACCCAAACCTAAACCCTGACCGTTGTTATTATTGTAACCATGACAACAATGATTGTCTGATGTGGAGAAAATACTTATTTTAACGCAAATCATGATCTTTCCCTAAACCTAACCAACTAGTTTTTGTGCCTAAACCTAACAAATCCATGACTGTTATTATAGTAACCATGACAACTGAGGTTCAGCGCCGTAGGGGCGCTCTTTCAAGAGAGACTTCCATGGGTCAGAGGTTTGAAAAAACAACCTATATGGCTGTTTCGGTTGGGGGACTTGTCTTTAACATATTGTCAGTTGATTTCATTCCCTCAGTGTGGTTCCTCTGCTTGATGTTTCAGAGCCTGGCTCCACTCAGCAGTGAGATTAAGGCCAGGATGAAGCAGTTTGTGGAAGAAAGGACGGAAGTCAATATGGTAACTGCCAACAATCGATTTCTGACTTCCTCTCTAATCATTTGACTGAGATGCAAATGGCTTGTTTTGCTATCCGAAATGTCCCCTTTAGTCAAATCAGAAGTAACATGCCAGGCCATCATTTCAGTCTCTGAATAATTAATAATGAAATCTTACTTCACACATAAAGAAGGTGACCGAAACAGAAATTTTGCCAAACTACGGCTGTTCCTAATCCATAAAGATGCTGGAAAACATATGAGCATGCTTTTATTTCGAATAGATCAGATTATTGCAATGATCTTTTTACTGCTCTTCCAAAGCAGTCGATAGAAAGACTCCAGTTTATTCAGAACTGTGCTGCTGGACTTTTAACTAAAACGAGGAAGAGAGAGAATATTACCCCAGTTTTAGCTTCACTCCTCCGGCTTCCAGTATCTTTTAGAAAAGTCCTTTTACTTGTTTTTAAAGCTCTTAATGTTTTGGGACCGGCCTACATTGCAGACTCTCTGTGGTTTTATAATCCTTCACGAGTTCTCAGATTTTCTACTGCCAGGCTTCTAAATACACACAGTTTTACACACAAGAAAACCGGCAGTGCAGCTGTTTAAAACTACGCTGCAAAACGATGGAACACCCTGCCAAGAGCTGTAAGAGATGCTCAGCGAACATTTCTAAACGACAGCTGAAAACCTTTTTATTTAACTTGGCTTTTAATCAATTCTCTCAAATCTACTGTTGTTACTAGTTCTGTTTTTATTTTCATTTAAATTACATTTTATCATCTACTGTCTTTCTATTGTGGGTAAACAGGTGGAAGGAGAGAATAAATGGGAGTGAGAGATGTTCTGATATTAGATAAATGAATTAAAGAAAAGAAAGAATGGATTGTTTTGATTCTGTTAATTCAAGTGTTTTAAACATTTCGCCTGTCTTTAATTCCAGTGGTTGGCTCTGCTGATCGGAGCTGTGACAGTGATTTCAGTGGTTGGAGTTGTTGTGTTCCTACTTTACAGAAGATACAAACGGTCAAGTCAGTGCCCTGCACACTGTACACACTGTTCGGTTTCATTTGTATCTACATAAATCTCACTGTAAAGATGTGCAAAACACACCCAGATACTCTGTTGATACATTATCAGGTGTTGGGTCAGAGGATTATAAGTGATGTGATAATATTAGATGTTTTATGTCTGTCTGTGTTTCAGAGACATCATTAACAGTTTCACAGTTCATACAGACATGCATTTTATGAGTTAGGTGTAAACTGGTAATTGGTTTTTGAAAAGTTGTAACACTAATTTTGCAGTTATACCACAGGTATTTGACAATAATTCTAAACATTGTGTTCAAAGAAATCAAGTAGTGAGTGCATGAATGTTGATATTCCTCAGGATTAAAAGCCCTTGAGACAGAAGGGTGATTTAATCAGACCAGACTGACAGCAGGAGTATGAGAAGCATTGGCTGACTCATACAGTAGGTTGCAGATGCTCTTACAGAGCATGTCTGGTGTGTTTCAGAGGAGCAGGCCGGTGTTCGTCATTATCGTTTCAGGAAGAGAGACAAGGTGATGTTCTATGGCCGGAAGATCATGAGAAAGGTCAGTGTCTTCTCAAACATCCCACTCAGTGTTGCCAGTTTCTATAGACATATTACACATTTTGCAGAGTGCCCCCTGCTGCTGCACCATGGATTTATTTTTATAAATAATGATATTAACTATCACGATGACCATATGTGTCATTTTGTAATACCGCTGCCCACAATAGTTTTATCTATATTGTATTCATTGCACAAAATTGCGACTGCAAAGTTTTATTCTACTCTCCATTATTATATAATTTCATACACAATCATGTTTATATTTTTCTTGTGTCATGCAGAATAAGTCAGGAGATAAAATCATA